GGTCCTCTTTTCCATACACAGTTCAAAGTTATTTTTAATAACTTGAAACTGATGCTGAGTGAAAATGAAATACAGGTTTTTAACTTAACGTGGATTGCATATAAAACTGACTGAATAACATGATGTTTATGTAAAGTTGTTACGAATCTTTGTTTGTGTTATTTTCTGTTTGAAATAAAATGTGTACTTTATAGCAATGTTCAGCGTTATTTAAGCTGTCACAATTGGCAATACCAAATGGCATTGTTTTTGTTTTGTTGATTTTATTTGACTCAAAAACAGTGCTATTAAATAGTATACTTTTTAAATATTTTTTTCATAATTAACATTGATCGGCCGGAAACACGTACTAATAAATCAAAACATAAACAAAAACGGATCAAATAGCGTTTAATGATTCACATTTCTGATAAGTCAAATTGAGAGGTTTCGTCGCCTCCCATTTGACATTTAAGACGAGCATAAACAAAACATTGACTATATGTGTAAACAATAGTTAAAGGTATAAACAAATCTAATGTATGTTTCTAATTGTCACATTTCAAAATAAAATTTATGTCTTTACAAAAACATGTTTTCAGCTATAAAATGCTAATATTGTAAACAATATGTAAAATAGAAAAACTATAAAAGAAAAACCTATTTGAATAATTATTTGATTATTCAGGAAGACGAGAAAAGCTAGGAAAACTATAAACGAAAAACCTGTCTGAATAATTTTTTAATTATTTAGGAAGATGAGAAAAACAAATCTCAGTTAGTTACTGTTTCCAACAGCGGTCAAAAATATTTTATTGCAATTATCAGTGGTTATAACAGATCCAATAAATAAAAATGACGTTCAAATGCAAAATAGTACCGATATAGCTTGAACAAAATGTAAGATAAAATGCGATTCTTACGACCTATTTCATAATATGATAATGTGGCCTAATAATTATGACCTCCCTTTCTGTATAATTAAACAATGTCATGATATAGTAAAGGAAGGAAAAACATGTGAATGAATTGTTATTACAAGTCTTGTCAAATCATTACAACGATTAAGTTCCGCGTTTAATTTGAAACAAATTGGGTTGTCAACTGAATTGTTTGATGAAATTTTTATGCCCTTTTTATCGTTTCATCTGACAAGGTTCAGAATTCCCACAGCAAGTATTTAGTCGGATAATCTTGTATTTCAATCAACTGACAAACAAAATGAGCGTTACTGTCATTAATATGTTCATATTTGACAGATTTGGTTATAAAATTAATCTATACAAATAATTAGCATACTTTGCGAAGCAAATCAATGCCTCCTAATGATAAAGACATTCTTTTATGTCAAACCAAAATGTTACAGGAAGGGGATAAGGCAATGTCAAAAATGCTCGATATAATAAAATTCAATATAAATATTAATGTGTACAGTCTAAAAAAATACGTGAAAAATTACTTCTTGTCACCCGAGTACTTAATATCGTTCAGTATGCCATTCTTGGTGTGCATGCGGTAGTTTTAGTTCTATAGATTTAAATTTTAGCTTGTTGGGTGGTATAAATTCAAAAGTTCACCATAGACAGTTACAATGTAGTACTGCTTAAGCCTATGTCGTGGATGTGTGCAATATGTTAAAAATTAAGTACCGCTCAAGCCGGTGATAGGGGGGCGTGAGGGATGTTGTACTTTATCATTGTCCCTCATCAAACCAAGTCTGCAGTTTTCATTTCATTTTGTTGTGATAAATGCTTCCGAACGATCACCCTTTTTCTAGATTTTCATACTTTACAACAGCAGGTGTCAAGTGCCGTGTAGCAGCTGTAAAAGTTGCTCCATACTTCATTTCCGTGTTGTTATTATATTTTCTTGTCCTTCAGGTTCATTGATTCTAGCACTTTTAAGTTCCCTCTTGTTTTTGGTAAGCATGAAAGTGTCATTACTGTTCCTACATTAAACACATTTCATGATTGAATTTTTAGTTTTGCTTACGACGGTGCTAAGGGGCATGGACGGTAACTTGCATTTACACCCCCGTCGTCATGAACAAGGTCAATAAAACCAGACCTGCAAAAAAATTAAAATGCCGTGTTGACTGTTCTTGGTGCGTGTTGGCGGTTCTTTGTGGTTTCCATTTGATCTATTTCTAAATAAGTATTTAAGAGGAATATTTGGCCTTTCTTCAAAAAAGTGTAAAGGACTCTCACGCAATGTTTATCATGCTTATTGACGTCATATCTACATTTCAACGGTCATATAGATATTCGACGAAAAGAATAAAAAATCGAATGAACGAATGTTCCCTTAAATAACCTTTACGAAAACCAAGACTAAGATTAATTCAGCCTTCTGCTGAAAAAAATAAAATTATCAAACATGAAAGTGTTGCAATCTGTATTTGTATCACATTTCTCAACTGAGACAGTGTGCATGTCACCATCCACCCGTTATCACCGTATTGAAGGGGGTTCTCTGATGTTTGTTTTACATAAAGGCAAACGTGTTTTCGATATTTGTGTACTGTAATGTTTCGTGCAATAACTTGTGTTCAAAAGTCCAGATTATACGCTCATCCAGCATAATCGTTTTTATTGTGCAAAATTATCCTATAAATGAAAAGCAAGGCAACGCCTTCAACTCAAATAGGGCTAAGAATCATCAAACAGAAATCCTATTTTCAATTTAATAAGTATATTTCTTAATCATCTTTTATGTATTTTTTCGTTTTATGAGTACCAGTACTCTTGATTTATGTTTTAATGGCTGTTGGTCCTCAGTGAAGTTTCTTAAATAGAGTTGCTCCATTGTTGTAAATTGTAGACTAAGTACTTTAATCTACCTTGCCTTTCCGTGAAGCAAAAAACAACAAATGGCCAGCAACAACACCAAATGGTTCCTATCAAATATTTGGTACAATTGTTTGTTGTTTTTATACGCAAGTAACTTTTCTTGTGTAAATTAATTGGCCTTTTTTTGTAAAATCGATCAATATTATTTTTTTCTGAAATGATCTTGTTGAATATGCGCATGCCCATACTCTGGTTCTTGGATATGCGCATGCGCATACGCATACACTTGTTCCTTGTCTTGTATGCAGCCAATAAACGTTGAGGAGGCGTGGGATAGCGTTATGTGAAACACTTGTCAATATTTTATGATACAGTAAACTCCATTTCTATATAGGTTATAAGTATTCATCAATTTTTGACAGATTATTAATGGTGATAGTTTTAAAAAATATGTGAAATGTTTTTGAACCGTCATACTGGTCAGAAAGGTTATATTGTCTAAATCATCGAGAGTTTTCAAATATGTTGCACAAAACCTTTGCCTTGTAAGTATTCTATCATTTTTTAGGTCATAGGAAAGGTTGACATAACTCAAGTTTGGCATGTATACTTCCTGATGCGGGTATGTCGAAAATATTGAAAATGGCAAAGTCAAAAATGTTCTAGAATGAAGAAAGTGAAAGCCAGCTTTACGGGTGAAACTTGTTAACTTTGGTCTCTTATTTTTGTATTTTTACAAAGGCAATGGCAAGAAGACGTTCGTTATGTTTAGGCGGGAACACCCACGACGTCTTGACGGCTGGAACATTTACGACGTCTTGACGTCGGAAGTGAAGATGACGTCAACGTTAATATCAATGTCATTACAGTTTAATTTATCATTGAGATAATAAAAAGATAAAAAAGAAGCTTATATAACTGTACCCTACAGACAAAAAAGGACAATTTGAACTAGCGCTGAAAAATTTCTTAAGTGAAACTCGTAATTAAATTTAAACATGATTGAACCAAAAAATGACACATTTAGTCTTTTGTGTGACCCTAAAAGTGAGATTTTGTTACATTTTGTTTCAATCGTAGATCTAATTCTGTTTCATGCATCAAATAAAGAAAACAGGAATCCCTAAAGAAAAACTTAAACAACAACATTGAAAATTTGATTGATTGAAAAGTTGATGTAGCGTACTGGAAAAATGCAACACTCTAGCACTGGCTTAAGCAGAATTCAATACTAAGTATTTAACATGAAATTGTAAAATTTTAAGTTTGAGAACATTCTTTGCGCTAGTTTAATTTTCTGTCTTTGCCTTTGTAATGAAAAATACGAAACATTTCCCATTGAGGACCTATTATCTTAATGATGTTTGTTTTTACTGATTACGTAAGAGCAAACAGTTCAGTGTTCAAAGATGCAAACTAACTGGGAGTTATATGAAAATATAAAGAACTAGTTTTTTTATATATATTTTTTTTATTCATTTAAAATACAAAACAACTATCATATAGTAAGAGATCCTTGTAATGTTTTTTTTTTTCAATTTCAACTAAAATAAATATATGAATAAATAAATAAGTAAATAAATAAATAAATAAATAAATAAAAAAATAAATATATAAATAAATACAAATGTAAATAAATGATTAAATATTAAATAAATAAAAGATAAATTAATAGATAACTAGATAGATGAATAGATAAAGTAATACAAAATGGAAATAAATACATAATAAATGAATAAATAGATAGATTTTCTATAAATACAGTATTTATTGTCATTGACTGTATGAAAATAAATATTTCACGAGTGGCGGGAGGCACAAAAAAGTGAAATATGATAATTTTCATATCATAAGATGAAAATAAACCCTTCATTTTTAGAAAAAACTTGTATTTTTTTATTTATACTTTTTCTCCTTTTTGACCTTACAATTGGTAAGACTTTAATTTTGTGTATTGGCTGAATTACGAAGAATGTAGCACGGCAAGTTACCAGTGAAAATATAGAAAATATTTTTCACTGCAGTGAAACTTAAATTTTACAGTGAATATACGGAAGATGAAAATACGCACTTTATTCCTCAATATTTCTCAATATTTCATTCATAAGTATATAATGGATAAATAAAAATTAATTAATTAATCAATCAATCAATCAATCAATCAATTAATTTATTTATTAATCAATCAATCAATCAATCAATTAATTAATCAATTAATTTAAGAGTACAAAGGTATATAACTAAATAAGTGAATAAATAAATGTTGACTTACAAATTAATTATCCTCATTTTTATTTCATTAATTTAAAAAAAAAATCAAAATAGTGAGTTTTCATAATTAAAATTGCTCAGTTCCTTTTTTTTTCAAAGGCATTTTATGATAATTTTTTTGGTGGAAAAATCTTCGACTGTTCCCTTATCTACGCCTTTCAAAAGACAAATTTGTGAATAGTTTCTACCTCAGCCGTCTCAATTTGTATGCCAATGATTTGTTTCATTCTAATTCCTTGTGAAATTTTACGACATTTCATAATCATGTGATGGCTTCTTTTTATGTAATTGTAAATTTTTCGAAAGTATTATTATGAAAGGATTTGTTCTGTGGAAGAATATGACTGGTTTCTTTTGCCTCGTTAGCATAGTGCTTGTCTTTCATATTGAATGTGTGTTTTCTGAAAAAGATAAAAAGCGCGACTTGAAGATGCAATAATTCAACTAAAGACCGGAAAATGCAACAAGAACTTTAAATGTATATAGAATATACCACTCTTATCTTTGGCTAAAATCCTTTCAGAAATGTATAGAAATCTAGAAAATTCGTACTGAATATGTCTAATTTGAATAGAATATGCAAAAAATCATCCGAGACATCATTAGAATTATCATCATCATTATCAACAGTGACAATGATGGTGATGATAATGATGATGGTGGTGACGGTATTGATGATGAAGATGATGATGATGACGATTATGATGATGTGGATGATGATAATGATGGTGGCAATGATGGTGATAATGATGATGGTGACGACGACGATGATGATAATAAAGATGATGAAGATAATGATAATAATAATGATGATGATGACAACGATGGTGACGATGATGATAATGCTTAAAGTTAATATTTTCTTTGTGACGACGGTGTTTTGTCACTACCAACTTCATAACAGAAAAGTTTATTCGTCCAACAAGGTATCGCATTTGAATTAAATGCATGTTGTTTACAAATAAAACACCCGTGAGCCTTATTCGTTTGCATTATATGCGTTACAGCGCAAAATAAAAAGATATAGCATTCCGGAGAAAGCTATATGCGGCGTAACATAGCATATTCTATTCGTCAAAGCTTAAAATTAATGGTAATTATTTTGGATTTAAAAAGAAAAAAGATAGTAATTGTCAGTATTTTTGAGCATAAAATAATTTCAAATATTTAGTTTTTGTAAGATTTGTGATCATTGAATGATGAATGCCTTGTATTTGCATCAAGTACAAAAAGTATATTGTTTGTAATCAAAGGAATACACATGCAATGTTTCTGTTTCATGTGGTTATCAGGAAACTAATTAAATATTACAACTCTACATCATTTTGACATATTTAAAACATGTTCGAATTATTTATTGAGTTACTTTAATGAAAACTCTCGTTACAATAAACTTGTCATGCATACCTTCTGGAATTCACATTGCGCATGCGCCTGAAAAATGTTGCGCATGCGTCAACGATGTGACAATTACATGCGCATAAGGGTTGGGCATCGTTGTTATAGTACAAATAAATTATGAATAAAATCAAGGCGATTGCAATGAAAGAACCCCATAGTTGAATTTGTTCTCGACTGAAAAAAAAAAAGAAAAAGAAAAGTTTAATAAACAAGAACAATTTTCTTTGTCATTTTTTAAGTTAATCATAAACAAAATTTCTAATTATCAATGTACAATAAAACTTAAATGCCTGTCAAATTTGTCAAATTCATGTCACAAAAAAAATAAAGCTTAATACATTATTTCGCTAAATAAATGTACTTTAGATATATAATACAATAAAAATGTTTTTTATTTCAAATTCAACGGACTTTGATTTAATTTAAAATCCCTTTCGTCCATTGTTAACCCTTTTATTACTTTTTATTCAAAATAATTCTTACTTCTCTTGTATTATAACTTATTTGTTTCAGCTTACGTGCATAAAAGAAGCTTGGCAAAACACAATTTGTTCATTGCAAATCAAGTGTCTAAAAACATGAGTTTGCTTTAAAGATTTTCCTTTTTCAACAATTCTTTCATTGGCACTTCCTATCTAATATATCAAATGCTTAAAAATCAAAACGAGGTCTTTTCTTTTTGGAATAAGACAACGAATCAAAATCTTTTTAAAGTTTTTTTTAGACCTGTAACCATTTCAGTATGAAAAAGTAAGTCTGCGTCTGGTCGTTATCGCTAAAAAATACCAAAAAGAGAAAATAATCTTTCTGCTTACAGATTTTTCACTTTGGGTTCTTCACAGCACGTGAACTCGTTGAAGACTTCGCAACATGCCGGTTTTGAAGGGTCGGTGCAACTGTAGATATTACCTTCTCTCCAACCGATGTCATCATTTTTAAGACATTGTTTACCATTTGAAACTGGAACTAAAATAAAGTCACACGTCATAATTCTCCTTTAAACAACAAACTAAGAAATCAAAACGAGTTTGGCATTTTCAAAACATTTTAGCTGAAGAGAATTCAAAATAGATTGACATTGATAAAAAAAATAACTCTCTCTTGCCTATTGCGATTCATAGCTTATTATACCATATGTTTCACAAAACGGAAATAATATGTTTGTTAAAAAAAATCGACATGCAATGATGCTATAACTCCGTGTTAAGTTTATGCAAAACAAATTTAATTTACCGTACTTTTGAATGTCAGTGCTTATTGATTAAAGTTAGCAATGTAATTTTCCGGGCTTAGCAAATGCACCAAAGACTGATGCAAATAACGCAATAAAGTCAGTGCACAGCGGAAATATATGCGTTTCATCACATTAATTTCATACATAACACGCGCTTGATAAAACTATTTTGTTTTGTAATATCACTTGACACAAATAATTTTACCTGCGTTGTTATAATTTATATAAACTTACAATAAAAGACTCGTCCCTGAAAACGGCACGTATACTTTATGTCATTTCCTTTGACACGTTAAGGGACTCCACTAAGGTTTTTTTTTTCAAATGAGGGGACTGGAAATATTTTTTTCGAAATTAATGTATATTTGATGAATGTCTAGAGAAAATGAAACTTATATGCAAAATTTCTGTTCATTCGTTAATGTGGCACAAGTAATTCAGTTGCTAATGTAATATTGCAATTATTTTCTTGATCTTATATTATTAATATTATAGTTGCAAATAGCACAGTTATACCAAGATTCAATGTGACATACCAAGTTCAGTTGCAAATATTATCAAAAATAACATCTTCATCTTTATTCAAGATTGTATGCTACACAAAAATAGAGTTGCAAATATTATCGAAAATAATCAAAAAAAAAAAAAAATCATTCAAGATGTATTTTGCACATACATTATGTTGCGAATATTACCGCAAATAACATAAAGCATGTTATATTAAAATTATATACACATAACAAATTCAGTTGCGAATGGAACGTTTCACTGGGAATAACACATGCATTTTCCAAAACAATATGCAACCTTTTAAATATAAAATTTTATCGAAAATAACACATTTATTCTATGTCGTTGTTAAAGTTTTAACAACAATTAAAAAATAGCCATGCTTTTACCGGCCGAAATGAAGCAAACACTTTTCCGTAAGAAATAAGTATTAAATACACGGCATATACTGATAAGAAATGCATAGAATTTTTTATTATGGTTGAAAATATAAAATAGCTAGCTTCCACAGTTTCTGAAGACCATAACTGTTAAAACACATAAACATTATAATTAACTATTTCTACAAATTGCTTTCGAAAAGAAGACATCAATTCATTTCGGTTCAATATGAAAAGAATCGTTCATTGTCAAGGCAAAAATGTTTGCATTTATTTACGTGATAAGACATAAGACGCACTTATATTATCTAATATATAATATAAGAAAAAACGTCAAGACTTGTACTAAAGACACTATGTTTTAATACGCTTTCCTTACAATAAAAGTGTTATTTGTTTTTATAACAACTGACTAATTATTATATACTATTGCAATCAGAAAAAAAGCAAAACAAAAAACAAAAACAAAACAAACATAAAAACAAACAAAAAACCATCTTAAAAGACGCATACAAATACAACATTTTATACATACTTTTTGATAGTAAAATAAAAATCAGAATTAAGCCCAACTCCAACAATCCCATTTCTATTTGATTATGAACTATTTTTTCCGCGGATTAACAGAAACACAGATATTATGACAAAAGACATCAAATCAGCGGAAACGTCATACTATGCCATGCTTTATTTCCGTCTTATTGCGGATTTTCATTTATTTTCTTTGTTATTCATAGGCAATGGGACAACAACAAAGCCCGTGGAAAATGTAAGAAAAATAATAAATTTCTCAATACAGAGCGTAATAATAGCGTCTATAATATCGGCTGCTATTAGGCTACGTGCACTTATTGATTAGTTAAAGCCAGGATGAAAAGGTGTTTTCAAACTGTTCATTTCCTGACACTAGTGATGTTTCATTTTTTTAATTTAACAAATAAAAAGGAAGTTATTATGGGAAACAATATTGAATAACGCTCGGATTACACCATTAAAAGCCTTGTAAAGGCCAACTTTTCATCTTTTAAAATACAGCGGTCCTAGACTCTATTTTTCTTATAATGAGCAAACGCGCGACAAAGCCCACCCGCTTAGATCGTTATACGTTGGCACTTATGACCCCTATGTTTTCAAACATTGTCATTAAAACCAACATCATCGACATGTCTATTCCATTTTTACAATACTTGTTTATGATGTGTTTGCATTATGCTTCAACCATCCAAAACATGTTCACTTGCAGTTTATAGTTTATTTTTTGTACACTGAAAAGTGCTTATTGCAGCGTTTTTACTTTCAATATCATGTGACTAGAAAACTAAATTTAGTAAAAGATTATTAAAATGTGACGAACAAATATATGGGAAGACAAAAACAAATGAGCCGCGTCATGACAAAACCAACATAATGGGTTTGCGACCAGCATGGATCCAGACCAGCCTGCGCATCCGCGCAGTCTGATCAGGATCCATGCTGTTCGCTATCAGTTTCTCTACTTGTTATAGGGTTTGTAAGCGGATGCGAAAGCTGGTCTGGATCCATGCTGGTCGCAAACCCATTATGTTGGTTTTGTCATGGCGCGGCTCAAATAACATCCACAAACAAGAGAAACAACAACAACAACAAAGGTCATTGATTTCTGGTCTGCAACGTCATCTAGGATCAAATTTGTATGAAACAAAAAGATATAGAGGCTTTATGTTTGTCAGTTCGCAATCTTACTTCAGCAATATATGTAGATTTACTGAATTAAAAAAAATAACTGCTCTGTTCTGAGCATAATTTCGACGCCGTTTCAAGTTAATTTACAATGCCCGAAAAATAAATCTTTTTTTATCTTATTGTATGTGCGTGCGTGCGTGCGTGCGTGTGTGTGTGTGTGTGTGATGTTCTGGGGCCTTCGTTTGTTTTGTTTTGTAACAACTTGATAAAGACATATGCAATGAATAATATAACATTGACCATCAAAGTGTAATTTGCCATTGTACAGGTAATAAATAATTGGTCAAAATACGTTTATATTTTGCCATGATTGTTTTAATTAATTTCATAAAATTCTTTGCACGACTATAATAACCAACATGGTCCAACATGTAATACCGGCAATGTTCTGTTCGTAATAAGAATGGGACAGTCTTTTATATTTTAGGCAGTTTTTTCATATCCATTACTTGACAATCACTATTTAATTATAAATAGTCATTTTTAAACATATGGCTTTTTTTAGTATAACTTCACATATATAGCCTATTTATTCCAACTTTACAACAAAAAATAAGCTTAAGTTTACTTTAAGGGCAAACATTTTTTAAAGAATGAAGCAAAATAGCTAGGCAACGTTGCAAAACCCTGATTAAACCAGTACAAATGTATCTTGTTCCTTCATTTGTTCATTGTAATTGAACAATACAATTAAAAGAAAGAAGAAATCATTATTCAATTTTCTAAAATGGTCATAAAATGGCAATAAAATGGCATATTTTTGTTTTAAAGACAGACCAAATGAATGCCTCGAGTATTTAATTCCATTCACAAGTACATGGACTTCCTCCAATTAAAAAAAATGAGGGGAAACATGAAAAAAAAAATTTGACAATTCAACCTATCTTAAGATATTTTACTACATTCTCAGACTAAAAATAATATTAATGTATCATTAATAATTCTTTAACATGCATATTGTCTTAAATAGCTCAATGCAATTTTTTCGCTGTAAAACATTATTACATTATGTTAATATTAATGGAAACCACAGCATGTCATAAAATGTCAATAGGAAAAGATAAAAGTGCGCTAACTATATGTACATCATTGTCATGTTTAAACCATTTTTTGTCGTTTGCTTTGTTCCAAATTGCATCAATGCTCTGTATTTATATTTTTAAGTTCTCTCTTTACATAATATTATTTAGTGCTCGCCAATTTTTTTAAGCCAATCACCGACGAGGATTTTTCAAATTTTCAGGTTTCAAATCTTAATAGAACAGATTTTATATAAACTGGACGTTTTATATTATAAAACGCAAGTGGGCGGAGCACTAAGCCGGTTAGAGTGCATATTGGATGTTCTTCGTAAATAAGAAAGCTACAGTCGCTTCGCAAGCTCCGCTCCTTTTTAGCTTTCTTATTTACGAAGAACACCCAATATGCACTCTAACCTATACATATCTTGTTTCATATTTGACTTCAATATTAGAGGAAAATGGAGAAGTACAACATGTACGCACCAGAGCTGGTTTAGGTTTATTTATTTTCTAGCGGTTAGGGTTCTCTCGAACCTTCATCGATATCAGAATAAACATATTATAAACATTTTGACCTAAAGTGTAAAAAATGTTACTAAAAATAGATAATACTGGTTTTGTGCCAAAAACTTTAAAAAGATGTTTAAAAATAAAAATATATAACTTGTATGACATTGAACGAAGATTGGATTTCTTGTTCTAATCATATATATCAATATATCTATTATCTCATCAACGATTTTTGTTATTATTTTGTTTGGCTTTACGGCTCACCAACACAATGTAAGCCACATGGCGCCGAAATCAAAGGTCTATTAAACGATTATGTAGAGGTAAAAATATCGGGTGCCAGAAGTAGGCCTTTATAGCAATATATTATATATCGAGAAGAGACAAATATCCTTCGCCTCTTTTAAGCCATATATCGGTACATGTACATTGTATAATGTGTTTTGTGTTGATTAACCTTTGCACCTGGTTTAAACCATTTTCACAAGCATAATTCTCTATACGGGTAAGGGTCAAATTAATTGTTACTGACAAAAAATAAAATCAAAACAGGACAAACGTTTTCATTTTTTAAATACGTGTATATACGAGTCAGCGGGTATATGATATAACGCTTACTAGACTTATAATTCGGTCAATACCTGTATACACGAGTAAACCGCTTATAGACTTATAATTCGGTCAATACCTGTATACACGAGTAAACCGCTTATAGACTTATAATTCGGTTCATACCTGTATACACGAGTAAACCGCTTATAGACTTATAATTCGGTCAATACGTGTATATATACGAGTGGTACTAGCCTGATAAAAGTTGCATCGACCTCGGACTATATTTTCTCAGTCAATATTACTTTTATCAGGTCTGAAAAACTATATATAGACCTAAGCATAAGTTTATAATTGTATAATATCATATTGAATGCATCCTATATTGCATATCAGATAATTCCATCCCTTAGAATCTATTTAAGGTATCGATTAAGCTATGACAAGGTTTGCAAAGTCTTTCAGGATAATTAACCGCACATAAGATAAATATGATTTTAACATGAATCCAATAAATCACAACCAATTTACATATTATCTTTAAGTTAATGAAATTGTTATTAAGTAATACGGCCAATATTATCAATATGTAGAGTTGGTTAAGGTCTTTTTTCCCTATTATAACAAAGTATAGAATATAAATTTTGATAACTCAAATATACCGGTATTATCAAAACTCAAATATACCAATGTTCTCCGAATTCTCATATACCAGTATTTTCAAAACTCAAATATACCAATTTTCTCTGAATTCTGATATACCAGTATTTTCAAAACTCAAAAATACCATTTTTTTCCGAATTCTTATATACCAGTTTTTTTTAAACTCAAATATACCAATTTTCTCTGATTTGTAATATACCATTATTTTTAAAACTCAAATATACCAATTTTCTCTGAATTCTGACATACCAGTATTTACACTAGTTTTTTCCGAATTCTAATATACCAGGTTTTTTTTTTCAAAGCTCAAATATACCAATTTTCTCTGAACTCTTATATACCAGTATTTTCAAAACTCAAATATACAAGTATTCTCCAATTTTTCTTCAATATATTTACGGTCACTTTCAAAGTGGATCAGTATAAAAATTTACGTCGTTTTTCATTGTGATAAAGAATCAAACAACAAAATAATTGTATACAAGTTTCATTTTAAAGCACAAATTGCTGACTATCTTTTAGATATTTGTCGATAGGTAAACGCTTGCAGTAGCACTTGTGTGTAACAAAGCAACTGATGAAATCTAAGTAAGCGTGCGAACGTACTTGAAACGCTTCGTGATTAGCCGATCATTACGAGCAATTAACAAATTAAAAAGCTCTATTTGGTTTAATTGGCTTGATTCGACAGGTTGCACCAATAAAATATTGTTGCACGAATGACAAGCAGCCAATGCACTGTTTAATATATGTAAACCAAATGCAAAACCTGTCAATTAGATTTACCAATTAACAACTGAATTGATTATACACAACAAGTAAAAAAAAATACATGAGATATGAACATTTATCGTGATTATTTTACAGGTTCTATTTTATTTTCTGGAAGTTTCAATGGTTCTTAAGGTTTAGTGTCAATTTTATATTACGTTTTGGAGCCGAAAGTTTACATTAACAGTTGAAATATATTAAACTTAGATGCGTATAGATTTGAAAACGGTATGACGAATTTTATTGTTGTGAAGTTTTGAGAAAACCCTCGTATTTGTTGTCATATACTAGTAGGGAGATTCGAGTATCACCGTGGTTTTTTTTGTTTTTTTTTTTTTGTTTTGTTTTTTTTTGTTGTTTTTTTACATTGCACATCCTCCTCTGCGTTTGAAAATCATGTAAAACAGCGGTAGAGGAAGAATAATATCAATAGATGATGACTTCAAACTAAATGCTACCTGGAGGCAAACTCGGGTACCATGGACTTTGTCCTAACTAAAATGACCCCTGATATACATAACGCTTAACTATATATATGTCAATTTAACAAATTACATTTTAACAAGCATGAATAAATTTTAAATACAATATTTTTTTCTTTATATGAGATTCATTTTAGTTTTGGCTTTGTATTAAATGACTTAAAGATGTCCAATACTCTTTAAGTTAAAGCATGCAATAATACTGTCTAATATTACAGATAGTTTACATGTAAGTCAAAATATATTATTGTAACAATATAGAAGT